CTCCTCACAACACGTCCGAAGTATGTTAGATGGAGCCTCAGAATCCTTGCCTCCAAGGAGCCACTCTGTTTAACCCTTTCCAGGACAACTGAGTTTAGAGAAGCAAAACCAAGGAAGCTTAGAGAGATGGAGAAAGAGAAAGATTTATCTCAAGGAAATTGCTCAAGTGCAGTAGAGGGTAGAAAGTACCGATTTTTTTGTCATATGTCAGGCTAGAGGATTCCCCTTACTCACATAGCTGCAAAGGTTGATGGACTCACAATTGGCAGGCCAGATAGCAGGCTAGTGGCTTCCATGGCTGATGAATTCAAAGTCAGGAGGTAATATGGCAGAGTGCTGGCTCAGGTCCAAAGAACTGGAGGTTAAATTGCGAGACAGATAAAGGATTCAGACTGATCAAAAAGCAAAGAAGCTTTACCATACCCTCAAGGAAACCTCTCTTTAAACTTATAGGCTCACAGCAGATCTCAATTTGGAGGTAATTACACTATATCAAATCAAATATCCCCAAGGGAATGATTATATCAGATATTATCAAGGAAATTACTGCATCATAACTGCCAAATCAAAAAATCATAGGTAGCCAAGCTGATTTACAACTTTAACATTTACAGAAAAGAAAATAAAAGATATGAAAAACTAAAATAGGATAATGAAAGCAAAATATTATAACTTACCTGGTAGAAGTAAAGAGACTTGTGACAGAATATTATGAACAATTTAATTTCATGGCAACAAACTGGATAGCTTAGACTAAATTCTTAAAAGCACAATCTCCTAAAGTCACCCAAGAGGCAAAAGAAATTCTCAGCAGACCCATATCATAACTGAAGAGATGATAAAAAAATTATCCAAACAAAAAAGTCCTCAAAAAAGGCTTCAGTAGGGAACCCAACTAAACACATACAGAATAATGTCAAAAGTATGATTTATTCCAGGAATATGGGAACTCAATTTCAACACTAGAAAATCAGTCAGCATAATATACCACAACCAAAAGAAAAGAACCATATGTTCATCTGTATTGGATGTAGGGAAAAGAATTTTATAAAATCCAATATCTATTTTTTAAAAAAACAAAGCCACCAGAAAACTCTAAAGAAGAGTGGAACAGAAGGGAAATGCCTCAACACGATTTAGGACAGATGTGAAAAGCCAACAGCCAACATTATTTTTAATGGTAAAAGACAGAGCTTGTTCTCTTGAAATCAAGAACAAGACAAGGGTATCTACTTTCATTATCTCTATTCAAAATTGTACTAGTAGACCAACCCACAGCAATAAAACAAGAAAAATCAATAAAAGGTATTATAGTTGGGAAAGAAGCAAAATCATTTATCTCTATTTAGAGACTTGATCCTATATATTCAAAATCCAAATGTGTTTCACAAGAAAATATTCATACCCAATAGAGGAATTGAGCAAAATCACAAGGTACAGGATTACTTGGACATAACTAAATATCACAAGGGATTTTGTTCCTTGCTTTGGAAGGCTAAGATCATGGATTCATGAGGCATCCTGGTTAATTAACCTCATGAAAGTTCTTCTGTTCTAAAAACAAACAAACAAAAAGTTCTTCTGTTCTGCCTTTAATTTTATTGTGTAGTGTACAGGGTCCAAGGCACAAAAATGGATCCTTATTTACATAAAGCAATAAAGAATCAGAATCAGTAATAGGAGGATGATGTGCAATGTGTGGCTAATTATCTCTATGAACAATTACCTTCTTTGCTATAGGACCAGAAAAACTGACTGGTGCCCAGCTACCACGACTGAATATTTTAATAAAAAATTTCATAGAAGAATTCTCATCACAAGGGGGAGAATATAGGACAGATTTTCCAATTCTAAAGAACTCCAGATTTTTAAGAACCATGGAGGATAGACTTAATCCCTGAAAATATTTTTTGAGATAATCTTTAAATCTATATGGGACCAAATTGGCCACAGAAACTCAAAAGATAACTTCTGAGTTTATCTTAATGAAGCAGGAACAACTTAGGAAAGAAAGTTAGAATGACTGTATAACTCAAAGAATATAATCAGTGTCATTAAATTGTATTTCCAGAAAAAAATGTTTGAATTGCTCTATGTTTTTCTATGCATATTCTCAACAACAAAATAAACACAATTTTTAAAAAAGAAACAAAAATTTACCTTAATTACTAAAGTCATTAACATTGCATTCTTTTAAAGAATTATCTGATACCAAATTAATAACAGCAACTCAAATGAGCAGGGGCAGAGTTTGTGTTAATTATGGCAAAACAGCTCAGAAAAGAGTATTGGAAAAGATGACTCAAGTTTTACAATGTAACTAATATCTCTAAATTGTGTATGTAGAAATAGATTCATTAATGGTACTTTGCTGCATATATCTTCACCTAAAGTAAATTTTTTTTCATTAACAGAATCATACAATTTTTTTTAAAACTGGGGAAATATTCTGGCCTAATGGCAAGAAGCTGCACTGCAATACCAGAGGTATGCGGTTCAAATCCACCAGATGCTCTGCAGGAGAAGGAGGGGCAATCTCTCCTTTATCTGTCAGATCCAATTTGACGGTACACAAAAAAATACTAAAAAAATTTTAAAAGAAATTTAAACTGGGGAAATATTCAACAGAAGGTTGTTGTAGATGTTAGGTGTCATTGAGTTGAGTACAACTCATAGAAATTCTATGAACAACAGATCTGAAACTTGTGCTGTCCTGTGCCATTGTCACAATCTCTAACATACTTGAGCCTATTTTTGTAGTCACTGTGTCAGTCCACCTATTTGAGGGTTTTCCTGTCCTTTGCCATCTCTCTGCCTTTACAATCCTGATAGCCTCTCCTAGCAACATGCAACAGAATAGAATTTTTTAAAAATCTGTTCAAGGAGTAATTTAAATAGCCAGTCTAAATTCCACACAGTCTGATGATGTGATAGTGATGTTCTGACCCTGCATCTTAACTTGATATTCACTTTAACCATAATTGACTGAGCATCTGCTCATGATTTAGTGGCTTCTGCCTTTTCTGGAAACTGTAAAACATTGTTCACAATGCCAAATTAAAACTCCTACATGTTTTGAGAGATAGAAATAAAAAATATTGACCAACATTCTGTAAAATGATACACGTTTAACACACAAAAAGATAACTTTATTGATGGATTGGCATCTATGCTCTGTGACTGAAGCCAGGTCTGTTGTTGGCTGTAGCTAATAGTTACAAGATTTCTCCCCTGAAACTCAAACATGAATGAAAGGAAGAGCCCAGAGAGGCAGGTGTAGGCAGTGCAATCAGGAAAGAGATGCTAAGGCAGGGAAGCAAGGTGTGACCTATGTCAACAGAGAAAGGCTTTGCTACTAGGGGATAGGGAATTTACTTACATGACACACTGGTTAAAAGGCATAGAATTTTGCATTAGACCTTGAGGTCTGCATCCTAATTTTCCCATCAGGACTAGTAAGTAACCTTGACCAAGTTAGCTATCCTCTCTATGCTTCATAGAATAAGGTATATAATGATGCCTCTTTAATGTTTTTTAAAAGATTAGGTGCATTAATTCTATTTCAAGGACTTTAAAATAGTATCTGTTGCACAGTGAGCACTATGCATGTGTTGTTGTTGTGTGTCATCAAATTAGAGTTGACCCATAGCTGACTTTCCAGCAGGTTTTCAGACACACTAAATCATTTGAGAGGAAATTGCCCATCCTTCTCCACACGATCAGCTGGTGGATTAGAAGCGCATGTCTTTGGGATTGTAGCACAGCTTCTTACCAGTAAGCCACAAGAACTCCCTATGCATGTGTTAGACACTATTACTATTTTTCTCCTTAGCCTGGAGAATATCTCCTTCCAAAATCTTTCTTTGTTCTCATGCCATGCCTGCCAAAGGCTCTTCTGATTGCTCATTGGATTTCTCCCAATGCCATGATACTAGAAGGTGGATGTCGTTGTTGTTGTTGTTGTTGTTACGTTCCATCAAGTTGCCTGCAACTCATAGCGAACCAACAGCTCTGGGGCCTGTCCTGTGCCAAGCCAGTCTCACTGACTCCGACACACTTACCCCCATTTCCCTAGTTACTTTCTCAATCCATCTCATCTGGGGTCTTCCTCTATGGCACTGTCCCTCCACCCTTTCAAGTATGATGTTCTTCTCCAAGGACCAGTCCCTCCTGGCCACATGCCCAAAGTGTGTAAGATGAAGCTTCAAATTCCTAGCCTCCAAGCAGAAACTTAGCTTCACCCTCTCCAAGACAGACCTATTGGTTTTCTTGGTGGTCCATGGTATGTTCAAGACTCTTCTCCAGCTACAGGTATGTTGTTGTGTTGTTGTTATGTGCCGTCGAGTCGCCTGTGACTCATAGCGACCCTATGTACAACAGCCCTAAACTCTGCTCTGTCCTGTGCCAATCGCACTGTCTCCGACACTCCCATCCCAATTATCCCAGTCACTGAATCAATCCACCTCATAGAGGGCCTTCCTCTCCTGTGCCGTCCCTCCACCCTCCCAAGCATGATGTCCCTCTCTAAGGACCGGTCTCTCCTCACAACATGTCCAAAGTATGTTAGACAGAGCAATACAAATATCTCATTGTTTAGAAAGAATATTAAAGACTCTCAGATAAAAGAAGCAAGGGAAAATCTAGAGTTATTTCTTAAGTACAGAGTTTCTCTTTGAGGTCATAAAAAAGTTTGATACATGATAGTAATGATCGCACAATATTTTAAATGTAATTAATGCCACTTAATTGTATAACCAAAATGATAATTTTTATTTTACCACAATAAAATATTTTTATAAAAAGAACTAGAAACATCTCTATATGCTAATTTGGAGTTACCAATTTAACTCCACTTAACAGAAGGATATTCTGTTAAGTAATAAATCAAATGGAGAAAAGTTAATTTTAAAAAACAGGGTAATGATAGGCATGGGTCAATGAAAATTAATTATAAAAATGCATAGGAATTATTGTATAAAGAAAATGTATATAAATTAACCTTGCTTGCTGAAACTGAGGACTTGGAATATTTGTTCTGGAAAGTCAAGGACTGAAGTCTTCATTATGAATCGAAGTTTAATATTAGAAAAATAATAGATTCTCACCACTGAGTCAATTGGCAGCACCATGGTAGATAGAGATTGAGGTTGTTAACAGTTTGAGCTTGCTTGATTCCACAGATAACATTCTTGGCACCAAGAAATCAAAAGATAAACTGCATTAAGAAAATTTGCTTTTCGGGTCCTTTCCAGAATGCTAAAGAACAATAGTGTCTGTCTGGAGACTAAGGTACACAAGAGTCAGGCCATGGCCTTTGCAATTACTTACATCAGAGAGCTGGACAATGGCTAAGAATGACAGAAGAATCAAAGCCTTTGAACTGTGGTTCTGGAGAAGAGAATGAAACATACCATGGACGGTCAAGAGAACAAACAGGGCTGACATGGAAAAGGTGCAGCTGAGTTGCTCCTTGGAAGCAAGGATTTTGAAACTCCCTCTGATATACTTTGGTCACGTTACCTGGAGGGATCAGTCCTTAGAGAAGTAAATCATGCTTCGAAGGGTGGAGCGACAATGCAGGAGAGGAAGATCCTGGATGACATGGATTGTCAGTAACTGTGGTACTGGGGATAGGTGTGTCAGAGACAGTGAGATTGGTTCAGGATAGTCAGGATTCAGAGCTATTGTGCATAGTGTTGCTATGAGTCACAGTTGACTCAATATCACATAACAACAACATAAATGAAACACAGTGTAAAGGAAAGATTGGATAAAGCACAATGTACCTGCATGAAATACAATATATAGTTATATATTAATGGGTGTATGCAAACCAATGTTGTTGTTGTTGTTGTTGTTGTTGTTAAGTGTCGTCGAATCACAGGTGACTCATAACGACCCTATGAAGGAGAGTGCTCAACGCTTGGATGTCTCTTATCCTCTCTCCAGGTTCATATGATTTCCGGAGACAAGCTGTTATGGAAGTGGATGCCACTTCTCCTTCCAAGCTTGTTTCAATTGGGGAGCTCCACCCTGCTCTCTGTCCACATCGGATAACCAGCCATTAACGCATTTGACACATCAGTGTCACAGTGTTCAGCCTCACCACAACCACAAGTGACCGCTGTACGGCAACTTGTACACCAGGGCTATATGACCTGGAGGAATGTCTGAACAAAAACAATGAAAGACAGGCCCGAGGGCCACGGATTAAAAGTCACCCACCTTTGACATGGTAGCATCGCTTTCTGTCTACTGGACCAGCTGATCTCTCTCTCTATGTTGATGTTATTGTTGTTAAGTGCCGTCAAGTAGCAGGCAACTCATAGTGACCCTATGAAGGAGAGTCCTCAACGTTTGGTTGCCTTTCATCCTCTCTTCAGGTTCATAGGGTTTCTGAAGGCAAGCTATTACGGAAGTGGATGCCACTCCTCATTCCAAATGCAAACCAATAAGAGAGGAAAAACAAATTAATATTATTATTATAATTATACTATTAATAAGAATATTAAAAATTCTGATTTATGCATCTATCATATTTATTAATTCAAAAAATTTTTATTGAATGCTTTCTTAATGCAGGCTAGGACTTAGATCAATTGTTGGAGTGAAATGGAGCTGTAGACTCCACCTCATAGTAACCTTATGGGCAACTGACAAAAACTTTGCTCAGTCCTGTACCATCCTCACAATCTCCACCATGCTGCAACCCTAGTTGTAGTCACTCTTTCAATTCAAGGAGATTGGGGTGAAGGATATAGAAATATAGATTATATTATCCTAATTTCAACCATTCTACAACTCATCAATAACCACTAGTTGAGTGAGCATTTCATTTTGGAAAATTAATAATAAACTTAGGTGCTTATAAATATCATTTATTCAATAGATAACACCAGTCCTTTGAGAAAGGCTATGAGTTCATCTGGGATCCCCAGGGTTTCTGAGAACCAAAGACCGGCTAAGTTCTTTTTCTAACTGTAGAAATCAGGTTTAAAATTTCATAATCTTTTCCCACTCTCCTTTTCACTCTGAACTGACAGTGTGAAGTTTTGTGTTTCAAAGGGAAGGTATCTAATTGTCAGATCACCCAAGTGATGGACATTCACCTAGATCCTATCAGCAGCAGACAGCGTTTTATGTCCCAAAATGAGTCATTTCCATCTTTCCTGTCTTGTTGCTCCTGACTGCATCTCCTTGCCTGGCTGAATGTCTGACTGCTCAGTGGGCCCGATAAGGGGCTGCAATATCCTGTTGTTGCCCTGCCCTCACAGATAAGAGCTTTCCACCAGTCAGCAGAAGGGAAATATCGCTGTTAGCTAAGGAAAGAAGTTTAAACAGATCAGCCCCAGAGTAGGGAACTAATAAAATTCCTAGCAAATAAATCTTTTCTTGAACCTTCTGTTTCTTTTAATCAACAAATAAAGTTCACTGTAATTTCCGGTCTCTTTCTAAATGTCACTTTTATTGAAACCTGGGAGGAAATGAATTTGCCCCTACAGAGTGTTTCAATGTGGAAAGTGGGCATCTGCTCCCCAGATACAGAATATCTCCCATGGTGCTCATATCTCAAACAAAGAGAAAAGAGGGATTACAAGACTTAGAGAGTTAATTAGGAGGGAGGTTAGGTTAGGTTTCCTGTGGGGAGACTGAGTAAGGCTGGGCCTTGCAATGGCTTTGATCTCTGTTCAGATTTTTTATTCCATCCTGTGGCTGACTCCCTGGCTTTCAGGTGGACTCAAGTCCCATTCCTCAGTCAGATTATAGACAAGAGCTCACACTTTGGGAAATATAAGAAATCACCCTTTTTGGTATCTTGGAGAAAATTCAAGGTGCCCTCTTTGGTCACTTTTAGTGGCTGGAATCTCATATTTTCACCTTGAGAACATGGTAGCTCCTCCACTGTTGGGTGAAGCTGTATCAAACTGCTTGAAATGATTCCTCATGGTCTTCCAGCAAGGGAAATTGTAACTATAAAGAAAGCAATGAACTTATAGAAAACAAAAGTTTCACTAAACTCTTTAGTGAAGAGTTGTTGGTAATGCAATGTTGGTAAAAATCAATCAATAACAAAAAATGATATTATCCCCAGTAGATTAACTTATTGCTGTTGAGCTTGAATTGACTCATAGCTGAGGCTCCAGGTTTCTGAAGCTGTATATCAGATGGCATGGGAGGGGATTGTCCATAGTTCTCCCCAGAGCAGCTGGTAGACTCTGACATGTGCCACCTTTGGGTTAATAGCACAGTTCCCTGTGGTCTAGGTCACCAGAGCTTGTTTGCTGTAGCTTAGTTATGGAAGTTTCACTTTCCTGTTGTCTACCAGGAAACAGCTATCCTTTTCCATTCATGATGTTGAGCCCATAGACATAATATCTCACAGAACAAAGCATATCTTAAGAGTAGGATGCAAGATTAAAACTAGTAAGTGTTCAAAATGTAGTAATCTGGATTAAAGTTCCCATTGGTCTGCAGAGTCAAATAGTTTGAAACATAATGCACATAAGTTTCATGTGACTTTATATTTTACAAGTTGAAAGTGTATGAGACAAAAATATTTAATAAAATTTAACTAGATTAGGGAAAAGTAGAAGGTTTATGTTTTATTGCCTATAGATTTCTACTTTGAGTCGCAGCAAATTCAACGGTGATGAGTTTGAGTTGAATTTGTATAGATGTGAAAGGTTCGAGGCCCTCAGTACCACGCTTACCTCGCAGGACCTGATGAGATCTACTGTTCTGGATCCTTCATTTCTTCCCAGCTTGCACATTGCACTTGTCTTTTCTTATTCAGTTCCTATATGGGAAGAAGCTTACATGAATGAGGTGCCCAGAAGGTCAGGGATCTCTTTTTGTTTCCTGTATACCCTAGCACAGTGCTTGGCATCTGTCGTTGTGTACCATCAAGTCAGAACTGACCCATAGCCAAACCTCCAGTGGGTTTTCAGAGGCAGTTTGAACATGAAAGGAAATTGTCCATCCTTCTCCTGTGGAGAGCTGGTGAAGTTGAACTGTGTGCCTTTGGGATTGCAATGCAGCTTCTTAACCACTAGGCCACCTTTAGTGGTTCAGTAAGTATTTGTTGAACTAAGCAACAAATGAATAAAGCAAAAACTACTCATCCATTAAAAAAAAATAAGCGGAAACTGTCCATTTTTCTTTATTACAAATACACCAAGATTCATGGAATCTAAAATGAGGAGAGCCACTCATTGTGGTATCACCCGAGGAGCATCACTTCATGTGTAAATAAACCTATGCCCTTGACAGGGTATGCCTTGGACTCTTTTGAGATCTGCATATTATAAATAATTCCAAGTCTTCAAAATGCATCCCTTGCATGGACTATAATAACCCCAAACAAATTAGAAAGTAAACACATTACTAGCTGAACATTAGATTACCTGATCCAATCCCTCGTCTATAAACCCTTGAACATTGCCACACAAAGACACTTAGCTGGGGAGGAACGGGGGTGTCAGAAGATGGCAGAGGTGGAGAGCACACTGTGAAGAGCCAGAGGAATAGCAACCTGTGTAGAGAGGATACCAGAGAGTACTTTACGCTCCACAGAGACTGACCATCACAGCATGACGCAAACAGTAGGATTTTGAATCAGAACTTTTGCTAATACATTATTTTAGAAGCTTTAAAAACTGGAGCCCTGCCTGCCTGCCCTGCAGCAGTCCAGCAGCAGTCCCATCGCAGACCCAGCAAAAGCTGGAATCCACTAGCTGAGCTGAGCTGCATTGAGACTCACCTGGAAGGAAAAAGGTTAGTGGGGAAATCGGCTGAATTCTCTTGAGCCCACTAAAACCTGGAGGATCTGAGGTGTGGCGTGGACAATAGGAAATGAATCACAACTTTTGTCGAAACTTTTAGTATTGGAACTGTGGGAACAAAGCCACGTGGACTCGGCAAAAACCGGAAGCCACTAGATGAGCTTCTAAGAGACCCATTTGAAAGGAGAAAACTTAGTGGGGAAATTGGCTTATTTCGCTTAAGCTCCACTAAGATCTAGTGGGTCTGTTGCGTGACATGGACAGTAGAAATTTGAATCAGAACTTCTGCTGGAGTGGACTCAGAATGAGCTAACAGCCTCAGTTGCAATCCGGACCACTTTTCGGTTGCACTGCAGATCGGCAAATGCCGGAATTTGCAAGCCGAGCTTCTGAGGGACCCATTTGAAAGGAATAACCATTGGGGGGAAAGTGGCTAAATTTTCTAAAGCTCCACTAAGGCCCAGTGGGTTTGTTGCATGATGGAGACAGTAGGAATTTGAATAAGAACTTTTGATGGATTAGAGTCAGAACTATACGAAATCAGCCTGGGCTGCATTCCAGTCCACATTTTAGTGTGTATTCCAGATCAGCAAAAGCCAGAAGCTGCTGGACCCATTTGAAAGAGGAAAGCTTAGTGGGAAAACTGGCTGGATCCTCTTAAGTCCCACTAAGACCCAGTGGGTCTGTTGTTTGACGTAGGCAATAGGAATTCTAAAAAGAACTTTTATTGATACAAATAGTTTTAGGAACCACAGGATCTTAAACCCTACTGCCTTACAGAAATTTGACTGGTTCTCCTAGGCAGGGGCCACTGGACAAGGGCACTGGGTAGTGCCACTGGGTAAGGACCACTGAGTGAGAACTACTGACTGGGAGACAGACAGCGGGAACTCGATCAGTGTCCTCAATAGTGAGCACACCTGGGCAGCTAAGGTCTGAGTGAGGTCCCTCAACTGGTTGACCCACCCTGGTGACTATTTCACCTCCCTGCCTGCCCCACCCCATTTGGCCCCACTCCTGTGACTACACGACCA